GGTCCTTATTATGGACATTTTCGAATTTCCTTGCTCCCAAGGGCTCAAATGGTTCCAAAATGATAAAAAACAATTCTCTAAAAGTTTTAGCTCTTAATATTGTCTTTTAAATAGAGCGCAATTCAATCAAAGTTTTGTATGGAAGTAGTATAAAAAAAATTTGCAGGGCGTCGAATTTTCAATAAAAAATGACACGAATTTTCACTTTTAATTCATTTGTCGCTAAGTAATACCTAAAAATTTTTTTTTAATTTTCGAAATTTTTTCATGCTATTTTAATACGAAGTTTGATTGAATTGCGCACTATCTAAAAGTTAATATTAAGAGCTAAAACTTTCAGAGAATTGTTTTTTATCAATTTGGAACCATTTGAGCCCTCGGGAGCAAAGAAATTCGTAAATGTCTATATAAGGACCACCCTAATATATATATTAGGTTGTCAAATATCTCCCTTCCGCTTTTTTGCTCTTGGTTATAATACAAAAGGCGGAAGGGAGATATTTGACAACCTTATATATATATATATATATATATATACCAAAAATAGACCAAAATTATAAATAATTAGGATAGTAGGCAATTTACAGCAAAAATAAAATATATATATATACAAAAACAAGTAAAATTTTACACAAGTATGTAAAATAAATTACAACAATTTTTTTTACAAAATTAAGCAAAGCAGCAATTGAGGTTGAAACATTGTTAGGCATATAAATTTTTTGTAATTGAAGATAAGGTTGCTTAAGTCGTACCACTGCTTAAGTGGTACCTAGGCTATAATTTGTCTAATAATTATATATTAAAAACCGTCAAATAGAATTATTTAGTTGATTATACAAACGTTTTAAACAAGCTATGTGAAATAGAAATAATTACAAAGTAAGTTTAACGTAAAGTTCCTAACTCGTACCGCTTCAATAATGATGTAGGTTGCAATTTTATGAAGACGAAATAATAATAGGTAAATGTGATTTTTCAAAATTTTTCCTCTAATTGAAAAACACCAAGAAGTGGTAACCAAAATCTTAATGAACAATTTCATCTTCACTCTTATCTAAAAAAAAAATTTAACATTCTTATCTCAACAATTTAAATAGTACAATCGTTACTTTTCAAACTTTTTAATTAATTTTAGGAATAATTTTTGCAACTAATATTTGCAGAAAAGTTGATCTCAGGCTGAATTGTATATACTAAGGATCCACATGGTACGACTTAAGCAACTAAGCATTTTAATCATATCTAAAGCACATTTTTAAAATACTCAAACTAATTTATCAACTTAAAAAAAAGAGTTTCAGTAATTGTTCAATCATAATCCAACTAAATAGTCATTGACCTAATCAATCGTCAAGGAAATTTGAAAATGTTTTTATTAAGAACCACCCTAATATATATATATATATATATATATATATATATATATATATTCATTGATTTTTTTTAGGTATATGTTGATTCCTTGGTTATTCGAATTAAGGACTATAATGGATTGGATTTGGACGGACACATCAATGTCTATGTTCGATTGGTTAAAAATGGAAGACATTTTCTCAACAATATTTCAACTAAAAGTAAGAAAAATAGTTTATCTAAATTCTTCATATCATTTTTATTCTATATTTTATTTCCAGTGTGCAAGAAACTTCGAAGAGCAATTTCCAGTGGCTCGTGGCATGAAGAAAAAATGGGCGGTAAAATTGTTAATGGGAGGTGGTGCTGTTTTACTAATAGTTATGATCATGTGGTTCCCTTTGGTGTTCTTTGCAATTGGCAATACAGTTGGAAGCCCTAATATCCCTTATGAAGTAACTGCTGAACTCAGAATTGGTAGTATGGAGCCTGTTTTTAAGGGAGTGGCGACTAGGGAAGATATCACTCAGTAAGTAATTAAAAGGAATACTTGTATTAAATTTGTATGGAGTGTATATAACTGTTGGCATGGAATCGTAGTAATTTTATCTAGTTTCTCCCTATACAACTGAAAAGGGTTTTCATATGATATTTGTGAGTTATTTGACAAAAACTAAAACTAGTTGGTTTGGTATTTAGCCTTGAGGCAAGTTACATGAACTTCCCGATATGTTTAAATAATCGACTTAATCATAAAAAATAAATTAATTTATGAGTCATTAAAAGTATTCCGAGTTGATTTATTACACATAATTGAAACGAACGAACACTTTGACTCGGAGTATTTTCTAAAAGCAAATTTTATATAATTGAACCAGTTTTCAGGACATTAATGGTTTATTATGTTCAAGACCAAGTACTCTATCATTATACCAAGTAAATAGTCTAATTTTAATTTTAACAAATCTCAAAAGAACTACTCATTTTCTCAAACTTTGATGAATTTTTAAAATCAAACTATTTGTCGTAAGGCCGTAATATTTCAGTAAGTTCTATAAGACCATGGTATATATCACTAAAAAAAATCAATAAAAATCGGCTTAGATTTTTTTTTCAACAGTTAATTACAAGAAAACGGCTCGGTAGATTTTCACCTAAAACTGATCAGTATCATTCCCAACTAATATCTTTCGAACAGTTTTTGATTTTTTAAAATCGGTTCGGTAGGATGAGCTTAAATGTGGACGAAAAGTTCAACACTTTTTTTCAAATTATAAAGAAACGACTTGGCAGATCGTGGCACAAAACTGACAAACGATAGTCCTCACCGAAATACATCAAATGGCTTTTAAATTTCTGAAATAGGTTAAGGCGTTTTTGAGAAAACGTCGATCAAAGATCTCATTTTAACAAATGTCAATAAAACGATACCAATTTTTGCAAACTTTGACGAATTTTTAAGCTAAACGAGTTGTCGTAGGGCCGTAATATTTTAGTATGACCTAGAAAACTATGGTATCTACCGTCAAAAAAAAATCATAAAATCGTCGAAATTTTTTTTAAAAACTTTATTACAAGAAAACGGCCCGGCCGATCTTTACCAAAAACTAATCAGCACGATTCCCAACCAATATCTATCGAATGGTTTTTGAATTTTCAGAATCGATTCAGAATTGCGGGCTAAAACGTGGACGAAAAATTTTCACTTTTCTGCAATTTACAAAGAAACGGCTCGGCCGATCGCCGCATAAAACTCAGAAACGATAGTCCTCATCGAGATATATCGAATGGCTTTTAAATTTTTGAAATCGGTCCAGCCGTTTTGGAGAAAACGTCGATTTACGACAAAAAATCTGTTCACACACACACACACACACACACACATACACACACACACATACTTTTCCCAAATTTGGTTTCATTCGATTCAGAATGGCTTGAAACGTCGAGAAAACATAAAATTAGCGAATCGGATTTTTTGATGAAAATATAAACTTCTCCTCCGGGAAATTAAAAATGTCCAGAATTTTCTATGAATTTCCAAAGAATAATGAAAGATCGAATTCAAAGTCGTTTTATTCCAAACTTTTATATCGGAGTGTATATAACTGTTGGCATGGAATCGTAGTAAATTTGGAATCTAGAATGGAATGGAATGTGGAATCTAGTTTCTCCTTATCCAACTGAAAAGTGGTGCTTTCATATGATATTTGTGAGTTGTTTGACAAAAACCATAAAACGTCCCAAATTTTTTATTTATTTCAAAAGAATAATGCAAGGTCGAATTCAAAGTCGTTCTATTCCAAATTTTTATATCAGAGTGTATACTCGTATAACTTGTACTTGCATATTTTTTTCTAATTTTTTTTTTTTATTTAAGGTTTAATGAGAGACAGTGGCAACAATTGAGCAATGCTTATAGAAGAGACAGGACAGCTCAAACATTTTTATCAAACTATGAATACAGGGATGCATCAGCTGTTACTTTCCGATCAAATTCGCTTACAACTTGGAGAGTTGCACCTCCTGATGTTAAGCATTTAGTACATGAAATCAACAGCAGTAAGTAAAAAATTTTATTTATTTCCATCTACATTATTTTCACAAATAATAAATTTTAGATCGTACAGTACGTGTAACTCTACGTTACTCCATACGCCACAGCGTTAACAGTCCTAATCATCCCTTGATAATCGAGGTTGAAAAATTTGTCTTGCTTATGGACCCTGTGCAAAGGCAAAACTTGGCTGCTCTTTTATCAGGAAATGGAACAAAACTGTGAGAATCAAACAGTTGTTCCCAAAATTCCTAAAAGTTGCCAACAAGGGACAGCTACCAATATGCCCAGCTGATGACTGACCCTAGTACTTTGCATCAACCAGGTAATAAAATTTACATCAAATTGTACACCAGTTGTACATACAAGTTTTTTTTTATATTTTCTAGTTGTGGAAGTCGATGAAACTCCCAGCAAAAATGTCGATGAAGATGAATACGAGAGTGAAATGAGAAACGATGAACACGGCCGAGAATATCGAGACGTTTTCATCAATCTTTCCTCGACAAAAATAAATAATACGTCGGCTCCAAATGCCCCAGCAAATGAAACTGATGAACCCAGATGGTGGAATTTAAGGGAAGTCTGTAATACTTCAGAAACTTTTTACAGCAAAGTTTTGGAAATGATTCCGTTTGCTGATTGTTCGGGATATGTGATGTACTTCTTTAATGATAAGATTTTCCCTGCGAAGTTGAACTTCATCTCTGGATCAGGGTAAGTACCAATTATAATTAAAAATATGCAAAGTAATTAACTAAAATACCATTTAAACATTTTATTAAAATTTTCAGTAACTGTAATTTAACAAAATTAATACTAGACTTAAAAATCCTTGAGCTTTTTACTACCAAGATTTTTCTTTAAATTTTTGAACTAATTTTTTTTATAATACATAGTTAAAAACACGCAAAACCCTAAATTTTCACTCTCTCATCACAAATCCCTATGTCGTAAAAATCATTAAAGTAATTCCATCATTTTTCTGAATTAAGGGGGTATTCTACTGTAGAGTCATGAATTTCGCCCGGTTTTTGAAGCGCTGTATAAAGGAAACAAATAATATTTTACTATCGATTTTTTTATCATTGTTTATTGATATTTATTATTACATAAAAAATTATTATAAAAAAAAAAATTAAAATTCACAAAGTTATGAGCAGTCAAAGTGGAGGTTCCCAAAAAAAGAGGGTGTCCTGGCGTACATGATTCCAACCCTCCTGGTGATTTGAAACATAAAAAATAGATGAATTCTTAATTATAATAGATGCCGCTATCGTATGAACCTTGGATAAGTTAAACAAATTTGTTTTGTTTGAATGGCGGCAGTTTGAAAAAAAAATATTTTTTCATGTTTTTTTTAACAAATCCGAATTTTTTAAAAATACTAAATAAAAAGTTATAGTTTTGGGCAAGGTCCATACGATAAAGCGATGTATAGAGAAGATTCTCTTCAAATTTGAAGTAAATCGGTTCATTAGAACTCGAGATATCCTTACCGCCAGCTCGAAAAAAGTAGTTCCGAGAAAAACGCGTTCAAAGTTTTGAGACAAGTCGGACCCGAACCGAGGTCACGTCACTAAAACGGCTATAACTCAGGAAATAATAGTAATTTTGAAAAATTCTTTTAATGACATATTTTGAATAACTAAACTTTGAAAATATGAAAAAAAATTTTTTTCGATTTTTTCAAAATTCTACAGTAGAATACCCCCTTAAAGTGTTTATCTTGTCCACCCCTAACACTTTTTCAGAATATTCAAAATCAATTTCATTTATTTTTTTATTATTTTTGACAAATATACTCGTCATGAAGAAGTGCTGGAATTTTTCATATTGACGAGTTTAATCGTCATGCTCATAAAACAGTGACGATTTGCTATTTAAATTGAAATTTTTGGCAAAAACAAAATGTATTCTGAATATATATATATATATATATATATATATATATATATCTGTGATTGACGGATATATTCGTCGTCATGAAAAAGTAGGATTTTTTTGTGTTGACGAGTATATTTGTCACGCATATAAGACAGTGACCATTTGCTATTTAAATTAAAATTTTTGGCAAAAATAAAATGTACGTTGAATATATATCAGTAAATGACGGATATATTTGTCATGAAAAGTAGGAGAATTTTGTGCATTGACGAGTATATTTGTCACGCTTATAAGTCAGTGACCATTTGCTAGTTAAATTGAATTTTTTGGATAAAAACTAAATATATTCTGTGTTGATATGACCGGTTAACTTTTATTGACTACTATACTCGTCACGGAGAAGTGGCAAAGTTTTATGTATTGACGAGTATATTTACAATACATATGAAAAAAATATTTAAATTGAATTTTTTTGAACAAAATAAATATTTTCTAAAATTATTTGACCAATTCCCTGTGATTGGCGAATATAGTCCTCAAAAAGAAGTTGTAAAATTTTGTGTGTTGACGAATATATTCGTCACGCGTGTAAAACACTGATTATTTGCTATTTAAATGGAAATTTTTGAAAAAAAACAAAATATTTTCTGAAATTATATAACTGTGGTTGACAAATATACTCGTTATGGCAAAGTAGTAGGCCATTAACAGTGCTTATTTGCTATTTAAATTAGTTTTTTTTGAAAAAATGACTAAACATCTTCTTGAATTTAATGACCCAGTTAACTGTGCTTGGCGAATATACTCGTCATGGAGAAGTTGTAACTAGAATTAAATTTTTGGGAAAAACCAATCAATTCTGAAATTATTCCACCAGTTAAATGTGTCGAGGAATGTTTAATCGTGGCAGAATTGTGTGTATTGACGAGTATATTCGTCTTAATATTTAAATTGTAATTAAAAAAAAATTATTTATATGTGATCAGTTGGCTGTGATTAGCAAAAAAACTTGTCTTAGAGACGTCTATATTCGTGACACGTACAAAACACTGACCACTCGCCATATATATATATCGTATATATTTTTTTTGGAAAAAACAAAATATATTGATTGACGAATATACTCGTCATGAAGACGTGACAAAATTTTATGTAGTAACGTGTATATACGTCATGTGTACAAAACCATTTGCTATTTAAATTGAACTTTTTTGTGAACACAAAATATATTGTTTGACGAATATACTCATAATGAAGACGTGACAGAATTTTGTCTATTGACGTGTATATTCGTCAAGCGATAAGTAAAATTGTATGATCATTTAACTGTGATTGGTAAATAAACTAGTCGACGTGTATATTCGCCACGTGTATAAAACAATGACCACTTGCTATATGAATTGATTTTTTCGAAAAAAAACAAAATATATTGATTGAGAATGATTGTAAACTATTTTCTATCTATTTCAGTATTGCCGGTATATACGTCTCGATGGTTTTTGTTGCTTGGAGAATATCCAAGAACATCACATCTGGTGGAATCACCAAAATCATCTACGATGAACTTCCGAACGTCGACAGAGTTTTGCAACTTTGCCTGGACATATATCTGGTGAATAAAATAATAAAAAAATACAAATTTTTACAGCACTTAGAATTTTTTGGTCAACATTTTTATTACCCTAGGTTCGTGAATCTGGTGACTTTACCCTGGAAGAAGACCTTTATGCTAAAATCGTCTTTTTGTTCCGATCTCCTGAGACCCTTATCAAGTGGTCAAGGCCTGTTGAAGAAGCTGCCGAAGACGATGATGATGATAGTGTACATAGACGAAGCCTATAAATATCTAAAAACTACTTCCATTTAATTATCATCGAATTATTATCTCTGCACCTCGTATTTCGGCTTTCGTCATGATGATAAACTTGCGATCGTTTTAATGACTTTTTTGTATATTAGTACGAAAGATTATTTAACTAAGCTAAGTTTAATATATAGTATATAATTTCTTTCTAATTTTAGATGTAATTTTCTATAGATATTAAAGCGAAATACAATTTTATATTAATATATTTCTAATTAATTTGAATCGAATCTCGTAGTTTAATACGGAAAAAATATATTCTTAAATAAGTATGTTTACTCGTGATTAAATAGTTTTTAATTTATTATTTGGATATTATTTATTATATATAGAAAGAAAATAAATAATATACAAAACATAAGTAATATTTTTTTATTTATACTTTTAATACAATCACTATTTGTAATTAAAAGTAATCATTAACAAAATTTCGGGTAATAATAAATAATAACCAACGAATATGGATGTGTGTGTATGTGTGTGTGTGTGTGTTTTGTATGTCCGCATTTTTTCGTCCACGGATCAAACGATTTGAATGATTTAAAAAACATTCGATTCGTATTGATAAAGAGACGTGCTGATTAGTTTTTGGCAAAGGCAGGTCCAGCCGTTACGGAGATAGTGACCAAAGAGTGCAGAAAGTAGAAATCGAGTTTTTGAGAGAATGGATCATCCGATTTGTATGATACAAAAACATTCTGTTCGTATTGACGGGAAAGGTAGGCCCAGCGGTTTTGGAGATACAGAGCTAAATGTTAAAAAATGACAGTTTTTGAGAGAACTAAGCGTCCGATTTAAATGATTCAAAGACTTTCTGCTTGTTTCAACAAAATAATTGATTTTGCAAATAAAAATTTTGATCAAAAATTCAAAAAATTACCAGGCTAAGCACAGTCTAAGCGCCAATCTGGTACAAATGTTTACCCAAGTGCCTTTAGACTGTTTATATAATGGAGCACTTTCACAATTTTGTGAAAAAACTATTGAAAATGTGAAAATGCCGCCAAGCTAAGCACAGTGTAAGTGAAAATGTCGCACAGAATTATTTGCAAATGCGTTTAGACTGTAACTATGAAACGTGAGCAGTTTTTGAATTTTGTGCAATTTCGGCAACTATTTTTTTGAAATTGAATTCGAAAAGAAATGACGATTGTTAATGTTTTGGAGATAAATTGATTTATGATTTGCTCAGATTTAACAAGATAGCAATAATAGTGAAAGTTACAGTATCTGTAATAGTATATTTGAAAACCGTTTAAAATTTCTCGAATATTCCATTACGGTACGGGAAGTTCCAGCAATTTCCCTTAAGGCACGATGCCATACACCACTAGTTTTATTTTACAATTTTATATAAAAACGCACAAATTAATAAGACGCAAATACAAATAAAAACGTATTTAATACAATACAAATTATTAGCAGTAATAATTTCGACCACCTCGCCACGAAGGTTGAATTTAGACTGATTGTGAGGTACAATAAACTTTTCGTATTGCACCCTCTATGGTTCCGTACCCGAAACTATTCAATTAGATAACAATTTTTGAATTTTTGAATTTTAGTATCATCTGGTAACAATTCATAGTTTTGTCCCTTTCTGACCCCAATAAAAGAAGTTCGCAATAACAACTAAAATCATTCTGTATTTGGACCTCTCGGTCGACACTACACTACAGTCAGTGGTAAGTCTTTTAAAAAATATTTATGTATTATGTAATCATTTCGTGCATTCAGTTTCAAATACGTGTCATGGAACTTGTTGTTTTGGTTTATTCGATTTGACTTGATTTTCTGTTGAATTATAATTATAAGAATGTAAATAAATTGAAGTAAAAATTCGTTTCTTTAATATTAAACGATTTGCGTTACATTTTCTAATTCAATATATTTGTGCTGAAGTGTCGCCTTAGTGTTTATTGTTGTGAAAATATTTAATTTTAGCCTTTGTACTTTTTTGGGGTTGTTCGCGTACTTTTATTCAGAGCTCAAAAGGGTGGCGTCATGAAAGAACCTCTCTTATATTTTTCGCGCTCTTCTTTACATTAATTAATTATTCATCATTTGTCCTTAAACTTCATAGGCTGGGAACCTATGAAGTTTTTTTCCAAGTGTTTACATGGTGGATCTGGGGGGTACATCATGTAAATGCTCTTTTTTTTATAAATTTACAATCACCGCTAAAATACTAAAGTACACATTTTATATTGATTTTTTGCTTTACCGCGAGAGGTTCTTTCATTTTTAAAAACCGAAATTTTTGGGTACATTAGGTCATTTCGCAGGGGTTCTTCTTTTCGCGATATATTCGGGTCAATTAGGTATAATTAGTTTGTAAATTAGTTTAGGTGGATTAGGGCTGCACAAATCGATACTTAGTAGTATTTACACTATATCCATTTCCATCTGAAATGTTAGAAACGTAAATATGAATCTATTTCTGTGGCGACACCACATTAAAAAAAACGCGCCTGGCAACTCTACCCCATGGGTGGTGAGGAAAAGAGTTGCATCCTAATTAAGTACATATAATTATCAAAATTAAAATATTTAAATAATTATGTTAATTAATGAACATAAATGTGTCAATATGTGTGCACGTCACTGATAATTAACTAATATCGAAATATCTTAAAATAAATTTTTTGCAAAATAATCTTTGCTTTTTAATATGTGGCTAATGTTATTTTTATATTTTCTTTCAGAACTTCATGAAGAATTATTAGATGCTTTCAGAAAGAATATTGTCAATAATTACTAATTTTGAATTAGTTGAAAATATACTATAAATACTACAATGCGAAGTTTTTGATAAAATATATTTTATCTCTTTGCATTGTAGTATGTATATAGTATTTTTGAAACCTCTAATTCAAAATCAATAACTATTATTCTTTTTAAAAGCATATAATAATTCTTTAGTATATGTGAGATATAAAACTTTAGTCAGAATTGAAAATAAAATCTGAATTATTTTCGATATACACAAAAAAAATTTTTGAAAAAAAAATTTGTTAAAATAAGTAGAAAGTTCTTTGAATCATTCAAATCGGACGCTTAGTTCTCTCAAAAACTACCATTTTTTGCACATTTAGCTGGGTATCTCCGTAACGGCTGGACCTGCCTTTGCCAAAAGCTAATTACCACTTCTCCCCATCATTAAATTCGAATGTTTTTTAGATCATTCAAATTGGATGCTCCGTTCTTTCAAAAACTCGATTTCTATTTTCTGCACTCTCTTTGCTCCGTAACTCCGAAATTACTATTTAAAATTACTATAACTTACCCAACGCAAAGTTGAAAATTATATCTAAATAATTTAAAATAAATTGTTTAATTGAAAATCTAAAATTTTGTCTATTAAAGAGGACGCCTGAACGGATAGGGCCTAGGGCGGCAGAAACCTTAATCCGCCACTGGTAATAAGGCAACAAAACTGATAGAACCCATCAATTTTTTTATATCCCAGTTTCAAATCATTTTCATTTGAAGTTGAAGCTAATAAATGCTTTATTCTAAAATTTTACACAAATTTACATTTTGGGCATAACACCCAATTTTGTTCTCCAATGACTATAGAACTGCAGTGTTCCCCTGTATTAAAAAAATAAAAGTTAAGTGTTAAAGAAAAATTCAAAACCAAGTGTTAGTGCAAAAGTTAAACAAAAAAATTAGTTCAAATTCAAAACTAATAATTAGTGCCAAACTTCAATATAAAAGTTAGTCCAAAGCTTAAAGCCAGTTTTTAATGTAAGAGTCGGTGTAAAATTTTAGTGCATAATTTAATGCCAAGTGTTATTGCAAAATTTAAAACTAAGTGCTAGTGCTAAATAGATCCAGTAAAAAGTGGCAAAATTTTATAAATTATTCTGGAATGTATGATCTAAAATTACCTGCAGATTTTGTGGTAATTATCTGGACAAGTCAGGATGTACTTTGACAAGGTATGTTTACTCCTAGTTGAAATTACTACATTTTTTGTAAAAATTGGTTTGATTATTTATATTTGATGAAACCCAGTAAAATTTGTTTATTATAATTGCTTAAGTGGGTACATAGAATGACAAAATGTGTATTAATTTTTAATATATTTTATTTTTAATATATTATTAATAAATTTATTTTATACAGATAATGTAATTGGGGCCAAAAAATTGAACAAAAAAATTGAAAATTCAAAATTATCATTTGAGTAATAGATAAAATAATAGAATTATATATATATATATATATATAATATATATATATATATATATATGCTAAATTTATTCATATCATAGAAAATGTAATGATCTTGTCAAGTTGAATGAAAACTGCATAAGCTCTTCGGTTAACAATTATCAGTCTAATTAATCTAGATGAGTTTTATAAATATAAATAAATAAAATATTAATTTTAGCTTACGAAAACAGCATTATATAATGTTATATTATATAGTGTTCTTTAAATTTACAAACATTAATTAGATTATAATAAATTCTAGTTATCTGAGCTGCGTCCAAATCTCATATGTCCATAGTCATCAAATTGGTCATCACCACGTTTTCCAAAACGCATATGTCCATAGTCTTCAAATGATGATGGTCTTTTGGCTAAAAAAATTAATTGAATTTCACTTGATTTAAACAAGCAATTATTCATATCAAAAATGAAAATTAAAAGTTGTTTGAAGAAAAGTAAAAAATGTTCTAAATCCATGGACATTGCATGGGAATACTTGAAGTCTGTATTTCAACTACGAATTACTCAAAATTTTAATATACAAGTGTATATATGAGTTTTTACTAGATTTTAGTAAATTGTGTCTAGTTTGCAATAATGCAAAAAAGTTATAATGTACGGCATAAAATTTTCGAGTTGACAAAATCTAGAAAAATGTCCTAAAATCAAATATTGCTAATTATCAAAATACACAAGTTTGCAATTCAATTCCAAATAAATCAAATTTTCAGTATACAAGTGTATATAACAGTTTTTA